AAAATCTTAATGTTTCTCTGAATTTTCCAAGTTATTTTAGGTTAGCTCCAGCTGAAAGCATTATTTTTGTTTCTCAATATTATTTTGATGACTAAACGTTATATCATTGAAGATGATGACTTGCAAAATGAATGTGTGAATGACAATAATTAAAAGTAGACAAATTAGTCCCAAAAGTATCAAAATATTTATACTCAATTTTTTACTAAACTTTTGGTCTAAGTAAAACAAAAATAATAATGATAATGATTACAAGATAATGATCATAACAAATTACAGTAGTTTGTATTTATTAACCAGATCCTATTACCTATTTTACATTTTCCCTTTTCTTCATAACAACCATATAAAGTAGATATAATTATTATTTTCATGTTAAGGATGAAATGACTACGGCTTGGACGGTTTCAGGAATTTACCCATATTTCTAATTAGAAGCCAGGATTAGCTGCTTGATTCTAAAGTCTACATTATTATCATTATTCTGTGCAGTTTATGTTATATGATGACAAACAAAACATAAAACTGGATTAAACTTTAGCATATAGAATCACTAATACTAAGCTTACCAGTTATTAAATTATTAACTCTCAGCTCCAAATAAACTCATTTATACTTGGCTCTGATGTTGGGGCTGGGACTACAAATTAACTTTCTCCTTTGCCATATGCTTCCATTAAGATACTTTCAATGAGGGACATTAAAGAGAGATTACAAGGCAGGAAGAGAAGGGATATTCTTCCTGTTCTCTTGTAGGATATTACAGCTGGCTGACAATCATCTAATGTTCAAAAATTAATGTCATTTTATTCATAGAAAATGGCAATGATTTTGCTAATTCAGTTCCACACATTTATATTTCTCTTACAAAATGGGATAAATGAGATCCTCTTCAAAATGTGGTTTAAATGTCTAAAAAAGTATCTCGTAATATATTTATTAATTTTGAAAATCATTTTAATGTTCAAAATAAACCACATGTAATAGGGAAAAGCCAGGTAGATAAGTTTATAGCAGCAGTAGAAATAAAACTGAAGATTGTATATCTGTAAACTAGCAATTCTTTTTTATTCTTTTAAAAATATTTGAACTTTTCCCCTACACCCCCGCCAACCGCCCCCAGTGTGTGATGTTCCTCTCCCTGAGTATAAACCCATGGATGGACTTGGCTTTAGAAAAGTCTTATCTCAAATTCTTTCTATGAAACAAAGTTCCATCAAAGCCAATTTCAAAGGCCTATGTAAAAAAATAATTATTCTTGATGCACTGTATGTAAATAATTAAGCCACATATAATAAAGCAAATCAGTCCTTAAAAAAATATTTAAACTTTTTATGACAGACATTTTCAATATACACAAAAATAAAAATAACAATATATAATGAGTCCATATACTACACATAGTTTCAATAAGAGTTTGCTAATTTTGGTTCTTATATTCCCATCCATACTACGTATTTTACTTTATTTACTTATTTTCTGAAGTTTTTTTAATCCCTGAAAACATTTCAGTTCATTTAAACATAAAAGACTTTATAAATTACAGAACTTTTTTAAACTTTATAAACTACATAACTTTTTAACTACAGAACCTTTAATATATCTGACATTAACCATATTTCTTAATGTCTTCTAATATCTAGATGATGTTCAAATTTCTATATTGTCTCAAAAATGTCTTCTGCCATTGATTTGTTCAAATTAAAACAAAATGGTCTACACTTGTGTTAGTTTGTTGTCCTTTGTTTGTCTCTATTTCTCCTTTCCTTTCCCTCTTTTTACAAAGTACAAAGATGGTAAAAAGTACAATTTGAAATCAAAGCTGTGATAACAAGCATCCTTATTCTCTCATTTTCCATATTAGGTGAAGAAATTTTAATATTTCAACATTAAATATGAAGAAATGAGGTTATTTACTTTGTAAAATTTCTGTTATTTTATATATGGCTGACGACTTCTTCATGTGTCATTTAACTTCCCTGAATCTCCCAAATTTTCTGGGAACCAGTAAATAGTTAGATCTAGAAGTTTGAGTGATTCCAGGTAATGGTTTTTTTTTTTGGCATGAATACCCTACATAGTGTTGTGAATTCTGCCAAACATTTAAGGAAAAAAATAATAGCAATTTTCTCACTGAATGTAAATATATTTAAATATTAAATAATAAATATTTACACAAATAATATATAAATATAAAATATAGGCTCGGTACAGTCATCATGCTTGCAATCCCAGTGCTTTGGAAGGCCAAGGCAGGTAGATCACTTGAGCTCAGAAATTTGAGACCAACCTGGGCAATGTGGTGAAACCCTGTCTCTACAAAAAATAAAATATTAGCTAGGTGTAGTAGCACTTACCTGTGTTCCCAGCTACTAGAGAGACAGAGTTGGAAGGATAGTTTGAGCCCAGGAGGTGGAGGTTGCAGTGAGCCAAGATGGCACCACTGAACTCCAACTTGGGCAACTGAATGAGAGACCCTATCTAAAAAAAATAAAAATAAAAAATATATGTATGTATTTATAGTATAAATATAAAAGAAAAATATAAAAATTATAAACTTGTGTAATTAATATAAATAAAAGTGGGTTTATTTCAGGAATGCATTCCTGGTTTAACATTTTAAAATTATTCAATATGTTTTATAATATTTGTAGAATGATGAAAAATAGGATTATCTCAATAGACATATAAGAAATGATAAATTCAAAATATATTCATAACTCATAGCAGCCTAGGAATATAAGACATATGCTTAACTGATAAATAATTTTACAAAAATATCTATAGCAAGCATCATTTTTAATGGTGGAATACTGATTTTTTTTCAGCCAATACTGGAAATGAAAAAAGGATGCTCACTATTACATCTACTTCAAATTATACTTTTACTGTGACACAAAGTGTGCCATCAATTTGAAAATTTGCCCTCTATCATGCCTCATTTATTTTCTTAGTACTTTTGAAGAAAACATTCATATTTTCTAACTTCCTAACATATCATATATTTATATCTCCTATTGTCAGAATGTCAGCCCCAAGAGGGAAGGGACTTCGGCTTTTGTATCCACTGCTTTATTCCCTGTGTCTGGCACATCGTGGACGCCCAATAATAAATGTATTTTGAGAGTACAAGTAACAAGCTCAAAGATGATTTTTATATTTTAAAATTTGTGTCCATCTTATTTTTTCAGGTAATTCATTTTCCCCTTCTACTTGGATGACATTTTTTGGAATATATAATTTACATAGAAAATTTGCAAAATACAGAAAAGTAGAAAAAGAAAAACCTACTGTTCAGTGATAATTCCGTGGTAACATTTTGAAGGCTTTCCTAATTAAAAAAAAAAAAAAAAAAAAAACTATGCAAAAATATATGTTTTTGGTGTATCTAAAATTAAGCTGATTCTAAATCTATTTTATTATTTTTTGTATTAGTCTGCTATCAAGCTGCTATGATAAAAGAACTGCCGAGACTGGGTACTTTTAAAAGGAAAAGGTTTAATTGGCCCACAGTTTCACAGGGCTAGGGAGGCCTCAGGAAACTTAAATCATGAGGAAAAGGTAAGCAAACATATCTTTCTTCACGTGGTGACAGGAGAGAAAAATGAGTGCCCAGTGAAGCGGGGAGCCCCTTATAAAACCATCAGATCTGGGAACCGTCAACTCTGTATTGCAGGAATAGAATGGAGAAACCTCCCCAATGATTGAACTATCTCCATCTGGTCCCTCCATGAGGATTACGGGAACTACAATTCAAGATGAGATTTGGGTGGGGTCACAGCCAAATCATAGCATTTTCCATATATTTTAAACTACTTAATGGATGAATGAACACAATTAATTTAACATTTTCTATCATTTGGCTGTTTTCAATATCTCCTTATTAAAGATAACAAACAGTAAAACAAACATCCTTGTGTATATCCATGATTATCCCATAGAGCAAATTATTGAAATGAAAATTTCTAACTGAAATGGTATGCACGTACTAAGGATCATGATTAATATTTTGCCTTTTTTTATTGATTCCAATGTTGCTATTTTAATTTCCATTTTTTATCTAGTCTCATTCTCCTGATGATCACATCCTATCTCACAGTTTTAAATATTGTCTATATGCTAATGATTCCCATATTTATACCTATATTCTAGATATCTCCCTGAATTCCAAATTCATAAAGTTAATTATCTGACATTTCTACCTGAATGCTTTACTTTAATTTGCATCTCAAATTTAAACTGTGCAAAATTAAGCTCCTACACTTTTACTCCACAGGAATTGCTCTTCTTCCTGTCTTTACTATCACAGTTAATGACAATTTCATGTTTCTAGTTACTCAGGTGAAAACCCCTGAAAAATCATCTCTGATGTTCTGGGAAGGCAAAGGTTAGCAGCTGCCTTGCAATCTGTTTGCCTTTGTAACCCATCTGGGAAAGAAAGAGATAACCCAGTTAGATTCCTCTGTAAACATGCCAATCACAATTCAACCAAATATACAAATAGTATTTACTAGTGGGGAGATCTTATCTAAGAAATGCTTTTAGCAGGATATATTTGGTCTGGGCTGGGATAACTTAGGCCGAAAAAAAAAAAAAACCCAACAAAATAAAACTCATAATCTATGAATTTATAAGGCATGGTTCCATTAAAAAAATCACATAAATTATGTAATTAAAGAAATAAAAAGAAGATGCTTCATAACTGAAACGACTCATTCTGTGCAAGCAATGTATCAAATACATTTCTTTTATTTTTAATTTTTGAGATGGAGTCTCGCTCTGTCACCCAGGCCAGAGTGCAATGGTGCAATCTCGGCTCACTGCAACCTCCATCTCCTGGGTTCAAGTGATCCTACTGCTTCACCTTCCCCAGTAGCTGGGACTACAGGTGTGCACCACCTCACCCATATAATTTTTTGTATTTTAGTAGAGACGTGGTTTCACCATGTTGGCCAGGACGCCTCGATCTCCCTTTAATTAATTTATTTATTTTTATTCAGTCCCTGTAGAGACTGCCAAAAATTGCCAACATCGATTACATTTCAAGACGTCATGGCGGGGTATTGGGCAAAGTGTTCAATCAGCAATAATCGCACTTTGGATAAACCTCATTAGCTATGATACTGCCACTGTGCAAAGCTGGTCTCAATCTCTTGACCTCATGATCTGCCTGCCTTGGCCTCCCAAATGCTGGGATTACAGGAGTGAGCCACCATGCCTGGCTAAATCACATATATTTCCTTTTTATTCCACATATATTTCTTAACCTCTCATGTTAAAATTGAGCTAGAGCATGTCGTCACACATGAAAAAGAAATTTTATAGAGAGATATACCTGATGGTTTTACACCTTTCAAAGGGAAGAATGCTTGGTTCGTATCTGACTACTACTTGTACACATAATTTATCAGCAAACTTGATACTAGGTGAGATCTGTAGTTCACTGTGAGTCTGCTTTGACAATCTGACTCTTAGTTTTGTCTTACATTCAACATCTAATAGTCAGCACATCCTACTAGATTTCAAATCATATCTGCTTGTCTCCTACTTTTCTCAGCTTCTCAAATATACCATTTTCATCTCTCTCTTGCACTTTCTTTTCTTTTCCAAATGCTCTCGACTTCCTTCATTTTATTCTCTATAGCGCAGCCAGAGTAATAAATTCTTTAACAATGTAAATAGATCATGTCATCCCTTTGTCCTAAACTTTTCAAATGCTTCCCATCTCTCTGAGTTGCCGCCAAGTTCCTTTCAATAAACTGCAAAGTCTTTCCCCTCAACTTTTCTAATCTTATCCTCTATTCCTCTCTCTCAACACACACTGCTCTTTCCACACTGAATGTCCTGCCATTTGACCATGCCAGGCATTCTCTCATGTCAAGGTCTTTGTACTTCCTAATGCTTTTACCTGGATTTCTGCATGACTTGTTTACTGTCTCATTTATTTCAGGACTTAAGGGCTTCTCTGGCTGTCTTAATAAAATTGCAATTCCACCTTCAATATTTCTTATTCATCTTCCCTATGTTGTTTTTTCCCCCTTCACAAGGTTTCCTTATATATATTATATATCGAGAATCAAAAAATAATAAACAACAAATAAACAATATCTGGTTTCAGGTTCTGAAACGGGATATATATATATATATATATATATATATATATAACCTGAAAGGAAATATATACATATATATGCATACATATCCTGAACGGATACACACACACACACACACACACACACACACACACACACATATATATNCACACACACACACACACACACACACACACACACATATATATGCATACATAACCTGAAAGGATATATATATATATATATATATATAACCTGATAGGATATATATATATATATATATCCTTCCACTACAGTGTAAGCTCCTAAAACCAGAGATTTTAAAATTTGTTATTTTTTGTTTCCAGATTCTACAAAGGTGACTGACATATAGTAAGTGCTGAATACATATGTATTGTTTCATTTGATTTTTATTATGTGTGAGTTTGAATTTTATTATATGTCTATTAGCCATTTTACTCTATTTTAAATTAATTACTTATGACTTGGCTCATTTTTCTATGTACTTTCCAGTATTCATTAGTAAGAACTCTCTCATATGAATGCTATTAAATCTTTCTTAAATTGCAGTGTATTTTTGCTCCAAAGGGACTGCTCTTCTCACATTTTCTCAGTTAATTGACCTTCATCCTTCCAGTTGTTAAGGTCAAAATCCTGAAACTCATCTCGATTCTTTGGAAGCAAAAGAGATAGCACCAGATGCTTATTAATTTTTCTCCCTTAACCCATCAGAAAAAGGAAACAAATACATGTTAAATTCCTATGTGAACATGTTAATGACAATATGCCAATGCATTTTTTTTTTCAATTTGTCATGTACCTTTGAATTTATTTTGTTGTACTTGGTATACAGCAAGTTGAATGGGTTGCTAAATTCTACCAAACTTTTCCTTTCTGATTTTTTAATCAAAAGTTTAGAAAATAAATTATACTATATATTATCTCCCAATCGTGTAATAACTTCATTTTTGTATTAAACTATTTAATATTTTTAACACATTTTGGCGTATGCCAGTCATTTCCAAAATACGAGTATTAGAAACCTTAGAAAAAGTTCCATTTTAGAGCATGACTTTTAGAATTTACTGATTTAGAAAACATTATTAAGAAACATCTACAAAGAAATATTTTGAATAAATGGATTGAATGTCTGTGCCCACTTAAAATTCACAACCTTCAAATCCTAACCCCAACGTGGTGGTATTAGGCTGTGAAGCTTTGAAAGTGAATTAGAGTTCTGAGAATGGAGTCTTCATATATAGGATTATTGTCCTTATAAAGGGACTCCCAGAGAGCTCTCTCACTCTTCCTGTCATGTGAAGACACAAACAGAAGTCAGCAGCCTGTAACCTGAAAGTAGACTCCACCATGTTGGCACTCTAATCTTGGACTTCCAGCCTCCAGCACTGTTAGAAATAAATTTCTGTTGTTGATAAGCCACCTAGTCTATAGTACCTTATTACAGCAGCCTGAACTAAGACATTCACTAAGTACAACGTTTTGTCATTAGTAAGACAATTATGATTTGTCTTGCAATGTTAAGACAATTATGGTTTGTCTTACAATGTATGTTAAGACAAACTAAGTAACATAAATGTGCAATTACTAAATATAATAACCAAGAGCTTTATGCACCTAGTTTCATAATCCCTTCACAATCCCTATCTGTCTTCTGGTGCTAGTTAGCTACTGATATATAAGACATTAGTGTAATTTTCCAGCTAAGTTAATAAACATTTGATCCATTAAGTTCTACTAAATAATTATTTTCATTCCAACTCTTTTTTTCTTAATACCACCTTTATCTTTTTCTACTTTTTAATATTCACCAAGATCTGTTACTGGAACTTCTCTGTTCCACTCACCTTTCTGTTCTTGTGGCAGAACCATTCTCTCTTAATAATGTATTATTTTTCTTTAAGAAATACTTAGCAAATTTACTATTATCATTCCTTTTTATGTCAGGTTTACAGTTTTAGTCTTGTTAAAACACACCGTAATCATACCCTTCAATTTTTAATGATTCTCCATTTTCTATTGAATAGAGTCTTTTTAGAGAGATAGCAGGGTATGTAAGGCTTCCATAGTCTTGTCCCACCTAATGTTTTAGGGTTCATCCTCTACTCATTCGCTTTATACATGCTACATTCCAGTCAATGAAATTTGATGTTTGCAATATATACCATTAAACATACACCCATGCACTTGTTCCAATTACCCTATATGGATTAACTTTCTCCACCATCCAAATCCAACTCATACTTTAAGGCCAAGCAACATGGTTATTTTATCTATATGTGCATTATGCCACATGCTACTTTTATTGTAGATATTTGTTTGCATTATGTGTCTTCTGTATTAGAAAATAAGGCCCTGATAAATTCTAAGTCTTATTCACCTCCCAGAAATACTGGTACTTGCATGCTTCAATGCCCGAGTCTATATAATGTCTGTTATAATTCATAGTGTGTGGTTTTACTTCTTTCTTTCCTCACCCCACAAAGTTTAATTTAAAGTTTTCTCTTATCAGCTCATCAAGTTTCCTATGTAATACTTTTCCCTAAGGATTCGCTTTATTTGCTGTAAGTTCTATTTATAGGGTGGTAACCCACTTTTCAGCAAACCAAATTGTATTCTAAATCATCTTTCTAAGAAGTATTTAACTTCGGATAGTCTCCTTTTCCTTTCAAAGTCATTCGTTCCTTGAACAGATACTAAATCTCTATACATTTTACTCTATTACATGCCTTTGATACAATGGTGAAAAATAAAGATTCTTTAAAGACAACAATCACACTGAAAAATCTGCCAGCAGGGGCAGCATGGCTTATATGAAAATAGAGGTGTACAAGGTTTGCTATTGGTATACAAAGGAGGGAGAATCTATATTCGCTTTAGGGTGTTGCTTGAACCATGAATGAATGGAATAAGTATGTCTTTTTTTGTTGTTGTTAGATAGAGTCTTGCTCTGTCACTCAGGCTGTAGTGCAGTGGTGCGATCTCTGCTCACTGCATCCTCTGCCTCCCAGGTTCAAGCAATTCTGCTTCCTCAGCCTCTTGAGTAGTTGGGATTACAAGCACATACCACTATGCCCAGCTAATTTTTGTATTTTTAGTAGAGACAGGATTTCACTATGTTGACCAGGCTGGTCTCAAACTCCTGGCCTCAAGTGATCCCCCTGCCTCAGCTTCCCAAAGTGCTGGGATTACAGGTATAAGCCACTGTGCATGGCCTAGTGTCTGTCTTTAAGATGATTTACTCAGTAGAGAGGGTCTACATTTTTTTCCCCAGTTGTATTATTTTTTTTCCCACTTGGATCTAAAATATATTTTTGTGAACAGGGTATCAAAGATTTCTAGGCAGCTCTCTACCACATCTTGAGTATGTGCTCAAACTCTAAATAGACTGAATACCTCATGATCAACTACGTCAGATTTCCAGGTATCTACTTTCATGCTCTTCTATAAGGAATCATTTACCTTCTCCTTAGAATCTCTTCTCCCTAGAGTCTCTAATCACATTTTTGGAACCCAGCCATTGATAAATATGTGAACGTTAATATCAAGAAGAGGAGCTTTGAAGATGTTATTTCAGATTGTTATAGGCTTGATACAAGTCTATTGTTTTTAGAAAACCTTCAATGGTCCTATCATACTTAAGAAAACTATTCCTTTCTTTTGTTCCTCCCCTTTTATTTCTATTTAGAAACTTTCAAAGATTATTTTTTACTATTAAGACATCCACAAGGTTCAAAATTTGGAACACACAAATTGAATTCAGTAAAAAATTTTTCTTCTCATCCCTTCATTTTAATCAGCTCCATTCCCCTCCAAAGGCATCCAGCATAACCAGCCCATTGTGAAATCTTCCCAATACCCCCTTTGCATACACGTAGATTCACCCATATTCCTTTTTATTTATTATACAGATGGTAGCATACCATACTTGCTGATCTGCCCTTGCTTTGTTTACTTAATAGATTTTGTAAATCTCTCTATATCAATGCATACAGAACTATACGCTCATTCTCCTTTATGGCTATACATAG